GCGCCGCCGCACTTCCCAAGCGGCGCACTATCCAGTGCGCCACCGGGCCGGCCCTAAACTAAGTATATCTTTATGACAATTTTTATATTCTAAAATGGCAGCCTGATGTAATACTGTAATTTGTTACTCATACAGGGCTTTATTTTACATTAACACACACTAAACTAGGCCAGACTTTAGGGATGGTTAAGTAGCTGCACATATTTATAGAGATTAGCACTATTAGTTTTATAAGCTAATATAATTAAAAGGGGTAAGAAACATGGTCAGAAAAAAAAAATCACATAAAACCAATGGATACAGATATAATTCATAAAGAAATATTTTATATTACTAGATGAAAACATAATCATTTGCACATAAGCATAATTATTTCCTTGCTGATTACTTTATAGTGCACAGGAACTAATATTTCACAAAATGGCATTTGCTGCCTAAGAAATAAGCCATTTCCTAGCACCTTCATAATGGGATCTCTTGAACTGATTTCACAGTGACCTGATGACTCCACTGCTATTCAGAAATGACCAATCATGGTTTACAGGCCTTAAGTCATAAAAAAATAAAATAAAAAAATGATGGTACAGCTTTACATAGAAGGGGATTGTTATCATGTCAGATTTGGTGTCAAAATATCAATCCAGACAGAGAAATCACATAATCACTCTTGAAAGCTCTCCAGAAACAGTACCTGTGAGAACATTAGACAGATTGGCTATAAAGAAAGCACACATTATATGCTTAGCCATTTGTTCATTACATAAATGTAGAAATTACTGTTGTGGGGAACCAGAACTACTAATTTACCATCTCCCAACTAAAGCCCCAATTGCGTCTTCTCTCACCCTGACTATCCCTTTCTGCTTTCCAAACATCTGGAGGGTTGTGTATAGAAAGGCAAAAAGACCCTCCATATGCCACTCCTGTTTGCCAGTAACTTACCTAGAAATCTAATGTCTGCATATCAGGCTCTCTCTGCCTGTGGCTTAAAAAACAACAAACACACACACACCACCATCACTACTACTCGAGCACTGGGTAACTGGTTGCTGTGCGGAGTTCTGCATCCTCAGCTCCATTTTCTGGTTTTCCATCTGGACTTCATCCCTCACATCCTGCCCACCAACTCACCCATATCAGGAAAGTTTGCCAGCAACCAGTTACGAGGTAAACGAAGTCCTGCTGGTGGGTGGTACAGACACAGGAGATGGAAAAGGAAGAGAGGGCTGACGGTCGTGCTAAGTTACACTCTCTAAAACTCAAGTAAGAATTAAAGGCGCCCAGTAGCAGTGTACTAACCCTCCAATACTATCACCTTCACCACTGCTCATGTACCAAGACTTACCTTGCTCATCTTCCTTCTCATTTTTCATGGTAGACACTTGTTCTTTAGAAGGCAACATCTCCTAAATGCTTCACTTCCAAATAGTTTTATGCAAAGAAGGAAAGAACACAGGCAAATAGAACACATACGTGCTCAAACTCACACTTTCACTATTTGATCTTTGACACAAAATCATCAATGCTAAATTTAACCACTGGCCCTTTCAAGGAAAAAAATGTACCAAATCACTCCTCAAGGAACATCTGTCAAGTCACAGAGAGCATGCCATGTGACATTTAGGAAATACAGAATATCATGGAGACTGGAAGAATCCAAATGAACTTTTGATTTGAGACTCTCTGAAATAAAAGATACAGTGAAAGAAAAGAAACCAATTTTTTTTTTTTTTGTCCTTTTTGAGACTGGCCGCACCGTGCTCAGCCAGTGAGCGCACCGGCCATCCCTATATAGGATCCGAACCCGCGGCGGGAATGCTGCTGCGCTCCCAGCGCCGCACTCTCCTGAGTGCGCCATGGGATTGGCCCAAGAAACCTATTTTTAAAAATATCTGTGGCAGGCAAACTGCATAGAAAATCTCTCATGTTAAAAAAGATTTCAAGCTAAAACTTCATTTTGGGTTTGTTACCACAATTGGAGGTTTTGTATTAATTTAGATTCCCCCTCCAAAAAAAATTAACCTTCTTAAAGAATACAGTGATGACGAGAGAAAGAGAGAGAGCATGGCTGTTGAAGAGCATATAAACACCAACCAAATGTTTTCATAAAGGAAACAATATAAAGAAAGAGAAGAGAATTTTTACCCCTATCAAGATTCGTTGAGAAGTAACAACACAAGTCCTCAAGCATCCAATCCCAAAAGAAGTGAACAGATCCTTCAGTCTTACCCATAGGTCTGTTCCTGTCCCTGAGGTCCCTGTGGCTGGGGTGTCGGTAGGAGTCCCTGTAGTGGTGGGCAATGGCCATATCATCCAAACGGTAATGCTGAGGTGGAGGTGGGGTAGGGTGAGGCAGGCCGTTGGGCTGGTAGGACAAGCCGTTATTTGGACTGTACCGCTGGCCTGGGCTAATAGTGCATGGTCGCTTGCTTGGATGTTCTGAGTGCAAAGGCTCTCTGTCAAAGCCATTTTCTTTGGTTCTGGGGGGAGGCAGGGGAGAAAAAAGAGTAGGTTTCATAAAGTACTCAGAAACCAGCACAGTTCAGACATTTATATTCCAGCTTGCAATATAAACAAAATATTCCTTTATCAGACAGAAACTTTCTAAACTCAGCTTCCCAGAAAACCCGTGGGAATTCACTGAAATCCAGGCTGAGACCTAAATGATCACAAGACTTGCACGCAGGAGAAAATGCTTCACTTCTCAACAAATCAGCAAATACCTTTTCAGTTGAAATTTGTGCAGTTAAATTGCAAATAAAAGGAAACTCAATCTTCTTCCGTAGATTGTTTTCATTCAAAGGAGAATACTTGGTTTTGAACAAATTACCCTAAGACCCGTTTTATTTGGTGAAAATTCATTAAGGTAAAAGATCATCATTCTCTTGATGAATCCTTAAGGTACAGCTATTCCACCTGGCATCTGTCATGTCAGAGAACATCTAAGAGCTATGATGTCCAATACAATAGCCACATGTGGATGTTTAAATTAAAACATAAGCTAATTAAAATTAAATAAAGCTTAAAATTCAGTTCTTCAGTAGCAGTAGCCACATTTTAGTTACTCAAATGCCACCTGTGGCTAGTGGCTACAGAAATGGACGACACAAATACAGAACATTTCCATCATCACAGGAAGTTGTATTGGAAAGTTATGATCAAAACAAGCTAACACAGTAAGCAATGCAATGTGGAGGACCTCAATATTATCTTGGGCCACCAAGATAATCAATCAGCAGTCATTCAGAGCTAGCCAGGAATTGAAGGAAGATCTAGGTCAACCCCCTTATTTTAAAGTTGAAGAAACACATGCCCAGAGAGCTTGTGCACCTGTCTGTGGTCGTTAGGGCCTATGGAAGGAAAGGCACACTCTGACTGTACTTCCTCCTAAGATGCACAGAACTTTGAACTTGGCTTTCAGAAGGAATGCATTCTATCATTGAGACCCGATAACTAATCACTGCTCCCCAATTCTCAAAAAGAAGTAAGGTTAAAGAAATGTTTTCTGGCTGAATATATCTCTATTACATAGAGACTAATTCAATATACTCACTATGACAGACAGAAAGCACATCCAAACTCTAACTGGAATCACAGCTCCCAAACTAATTTTTTACTTGGCAGCAGGCTTTCCTCACTCTATCCAGAGACCAGCACTCTATCCTTAGATCCCTGGTAACATCTATTTCCCAGGAAAATTTCCTCATAAGAATTCTACCAATTCACAGTGGTTGCAGATTTCCACATGCTTTTTTGATTTTAGGTGGGTAAAACAATAGCATAGAGGCCTTAAGACACTTTTCCTACTTTCCGGGCAGCTAGGGTCTGACAATACCAGAGGGATTTGAGTGGAAACAATCAACAATGGAGATTATGAGGGGCAACAGGATTCTGCAACGAACCATCCTTTATGTCCCTTTGTGGTGGAGCTCTAGTGACAATTTACACACACCGGATTCACAAGGATGAAGGAGTTACAGACAGAAAGCATAGGTACATAGATAACTAAAGGAAAGTCTGCAGAGTTCAATGTGAAATGAGCATGTGCCCACTACATGCTGAAGAAAGATACACTGTTCTGAAGACAGGAGACTGGCCAATATTGGAAATGACAGCAGAGCATGACCCCTGCAGGAGTGGCGGCCAGAAGTCTCAATGCTGCTCCCATCAAAGCATGCGTCTGCACTAAAACATACTGACTCCATATACATTGATCACTGATATCAGACTAAAGTATCTACTATAGCTCAGACATTACCTAAATGCATTACTTTAAAACAATTTTTAAAAGAGAAAGAAAACACTCTAGATATGGATTTATCTTCTAAGAGTATATCTATGTGATTCTAATATTTTCATACCCTATACATTTCTGAACAATACACTTCAAAATTCAATGAAATTACCAGCATAAATCAGTTGGAAACTACCAAAGACTATTAATAGCTATGAACGTAATGCTAACACAGCACCTACCTTACTGGCAGTGTGGTGTAGTGGAAAGAGCACTGGACTGGGAATCAAGAGACCTGAGATCTAGTCCTGGCTCTTCCACGACTAGCTGTGTGACCTTGAGCAGGTCACTTAACCTCTCTGGACCTCAGTTTGCTCATCTGTAAAATGAAAGGGTTGGACTAGATCAATGGTTTTCAAACTGTGCCACCTGAGGTGCTTAAGGGATTATGCAGGTAATGAAGAACTTCTCCCCAAAGAATTAAGATTTAAAGGGCCAGAAGAACCCACCTGTTGTTCTTATCTGTTTTTAAAAACTGGGGTTCCACTTAAGATTTCATTTTTAAAGGAAAAAGTCTTCTACTAAAATCAAGTTTGAAAACCACTGGACTAGATTTCTGAGGTCCCTTCTAATTTGAAAACTCTGCCATTCAATTATTCTATATTTACAGCTAAATGTTACGCAGATCGGAACACACAGGGCTGAGGGTCCTCTGGCCAAACAGTTAAGTGTCTAAGTCAACCACTTTAGCCAAGTTCTCTGTACTGTTCTTTGCTTTGAACAATTTACTATTTATAGCTTTATTTTTGTGCGGAAATAGAAAATATCCTCTAAATATCTTAGAGCAGCACTTGTAACATTTCTAAATCTTAAACATCTTTGACCCATTTGTCGAACCACCCAACTTACGGATTTTTGTCTCTCTGGGTTCAATGATAACAACAACAAAAACATACAATACTGGAAGAATTCTTAAAATTTCCAGATACTTAGATACGTTATTTATATTTATCCTCCGATGAGCCCTCTGATTAGTGCTATTACTTCAATGACTCAATTATTTGGGAGGAGGGGAGGGACGTTTTTTCCTAAAACAAGGGCAGCAATATCCTAAGAGGCAGGGCTAGGTTCTGAGTCTGTCCTCACATCTCTATCAGGTCCTCCCTGTCCTAACCTGGGTCCCATCTCTCTGCTAGCTATTGAAATAATAAAGCTCATCACCTCACAGAGTTGTATTTTAACACTGAGGAATTAAAACTTTCACAGTGCACAGAAGTAAAGCTACCAAGAGGCCTCCCTGGTGCTTCCTAGGATCACTCATGTCTCCTCATAAGGCCAACCCCATTCAAAGGCGACATGTCCAGAAGGGTAACTAAAACAACTTAATTGCTATTTGTCTGCTTCTTAGAAATGCCCATAACTATCTCCACCTCATTTGCTTGGGGCAAATTCCACATTTGCATTTTTATTTGGTGCCCTTTTCAAATTGTATTAGGTAAAACGAACAAATACTTTTCACTGTCCCATACCCACATACCTTTGAAATAACTTAAGTTCTAGTGGGAAGTCCATCATGTCTTATGGATTTCTGGAAGGCATTTTTTTGTTGGTTAGTTTTTAAAAATCTACCTGAAGATAGTCTATCCCCCTACCAGGAGACATTTTCCTGAACATAATCCAATCACTTCGACATTTAGATCCCAATCACTTCTCTCTCAAGATCTGATATCTAACCACTCAGGAGTTGCTGTGTGACCTCGAATTACTTAACTTTCTAGCTTCAGTTTCCTGCCAATAAAATGGGACTAATAGAAAACAAAACTTGCCTCAAACCACTTAAGAGGCAACCTAATTTACACTTTACCCTACCTTAGGCTTTTCTTTTTTTCCCCAGTTCCTCAATAGTAAAGGCTGCAAACTATTTTAGAAAGAAAACAAACTTTTTAAAAACTCTATATGAAATATTTAAAAAGTCATGATTGGCTAGTATGCATTAATAATCCCTTGGTAACATTTACGTAAAATAGTATAACATTCAAGAAAATGGGGAAATTAAAAAAAAAAATCTATTATAAAAACATGACACTGCAGAATAGGACAACAAATTTCCTAAACGATAGGAGTAGGCATAAATTCTCTTCCCAGATTAAGATTAAAAAAAAAAAAACAAAAAAAGTGGGGGAAATACTACCACTATGATGATTGCTCTGGGGGAGGCAAATTGGTATAGCATAATAAATCTTAGAATGGAAAGGAAGAAACAAATTCTAATCTTAGTCCCTGTTACAAATAAGTTACGTGCCTTAGGTGCTCACTTATCTGAGTTACAGCAAGCATTTCAAAATGAACATGTCCAAACTGGCCTCATCTTTGTCCTGGGCTTCCTGTACCACCTTCTACCTACTCACCACCTAAGCAGAAATTTGGAAGTCACTCTACAGACTTCTTCCCCAAATCGAAGCCTGTTGCTTAACCATCTCTGCACAGGTCCCTCCTTCCTATCCCAGGACACCTTCATCTTGGCCCCAGCACACCACTGTCCCCCTCTGCCAGAATCTCAGCCAGAGCCAGAACTCCCCAGACCTGTTTGCTCTTCTTCTCAACAACCAAGCCCCATCCCTGGACTGTAGCTCCTTGGAAAATGAGTGAGAGAGGAACACACTGAATCTAAAATTCCTTTGAGGTCTAATATTCCATCAAGCACTGCGGACTTACTGTATGCTTTATTTTGTTCTTGCATTTTAGAAGTCTATATCTAAGTCTTAGGAGATAACAGTTCTATTAAAGAAAAGACCAAAGACATTACTAACTTAATATAAAACACATCGTTCTTTTCTAAGACATGCAGTTTGTTAAGGTTTCTATACAAGGACTAGACATTGATTCGAGGGTGGCGGGGGAATCATTCTTGTCATTATATTTTCAAAACATAATTCAGTAAAAGTTCTCTTCAGAAATTGTTAGGAAATAGGTGAGTTTAGAAAGGATTTCGTGTAATACACATTTTTACTGGTGTTGAATAATGTATCTGAAACAAAATATATTACAAACTCCCCTGCCTCCTTAAAAAGAAAATCAGACCTAATTCCTCACAACTGCAGTGGCTTCTGTGTTTTGCTGTCACTCTGGAGGAGATGGGACTAAAGACGGTGAAACACTAAAGACGGTGAAACAGAGAAGAATGCTGCAGGACCATCACTTCTGGGCCAGATGAAGAGAAACACCTTTAATCTCTCCATCACTAAA